GTCTTTATACGAGGCTGAGTCGACAAAGCAAGCCCCGCTGCCTCCTTTATGCAACTTCTTTAATAAAGCCTTAGCCCGGGCTACCCTTCTGGCGACGTTGAAGGTTTGGCGCATATTTCTTGGCAACGGGGCAACGACGATGCTCTCAGCAAAGTCCTGTGGTATCTTGGTGTACGTCTCCTGGTCTATGACAGGGTTGATCATGATTCTATCGATGATCGATCTCCCCGTGCAAGTGGTAGAGAGTCTTGCTATTTGTGACCTTTCTTGAGCCCCCGCGATTTCTCTAGTCGTGTTGTGTACCCCTAACTTGAGCAGTTTTTAAGTGCTGGTGCGAAGCGGGAGATTCAGTGCACTTTTGATGACTTTCTTGATCACCGCGTCGAGCTTCTTTAGTTGGGTTTGTGTCCAGTTATACATAGAAGCTGCATATGAAATATGACATAGCACGAAAGAGTTGATCGACCTGATAAGATTGTCCTCTTTCATGCCTTTTTGTCTGCCTGCAAGTCGTCTGATCATCCGGTATGCATTTTCTGTCTTGAAGATAATTTTCTTGAGCGCCATGTGATTCGTGCCATTTGCATCTATAAAAAAGCCCAGTACCCTCATCGTGTCGACTCTGGGTATACTTACCCCATTTTCGGTCAATATATGTATGTCACTTTCGGATAGTGGCTTCCAGCCCTTAGGTCTCCCCCCTTTCTCTTTTCTGTAAAGTAATAACACCGATTTCTGTGGGGAGCACCGGAGACCAGTGGGCCTCAAGTATTCCTCCACTGTCTGCACCGCTTCTGTGAGTGCATCTTGTACCTGTCCTTCACTACCACGAGCACACCATATATTAAGGTCATCAGCATAGATGGTGTGATGAATGTTGCTGATATTGCTCAGTTTCCTGGACAGGCCTATCATGCACAAGTTGAAGAGGACGGGAGAGATCACCGATCCTTGAGGGGTTCCACGATCACCGAGTTGAACCACGTCTGAGTTGGTGTCTCCTACCCTTAACCTTGCCGTACGTGCCCCTAGGAAAGATTATATGTAATTATACATTTCGATCCAAGTCGAATTTCCTTTATCGTTTGAAGGATGTATTTGTGCTTAATGTTGTCGAATTCTTTCTCCATGTCTAGTCCGAGGATGGCTTTGGTATCTCTAGAGTATCCGTCTAGAATGTCGTGTTTAATCTGCTTCATAGCATCCTGAGTAGATAGTGAGGATCTGAAGCGTAACATATTGTAGGTGTATATGTTGTTGTCCTCCAAGAAATCCTTAAGCCTGTTGAGGATTGCATGCTCGGCAACTTTTCCTACACGTGATGTTAGCGATATTGGTCAGAAGTTCTCCAGACTTGGAGGTTTACCCGGTTTCGGTATTAGTATGACTTGAGAAAGTTTCCATTCATGTGGAACTTCACCTGAATTCCATGCTTCGTTAATAAAATCAGTCAGTGATTCAATGGAGGGCTCTTGGAGATTCCTGAGTGACTTGTTGGTGACGCCATCTGGGCCAGGGGCAGACTTTCTGTTTAACTCACTAAACACCCTTCTGATTTCATATAAAGTGAACGGTCGATCCAGTTCCGGCTGAGGGGCTCCCCGGTATTCCGATCGTGGAAATCGTTCTGGCTCCTTAGCGACTGGTAGGTATTTGTCTATTAGTTGTTTAGTAACTGTTTCAATGTCTTGATTTTTAAGGGCTGTGTGTATAGCCCGGGCAAGACAGTGTCTCTGGTTGGACCTTGTGCCTTGCTCGTCTAGGAGGTGCTTAATGAGTTTACATGCTTTGCCGTTCCTGATCTGCCCATCAATCGTTTCACAAAATTCATCCCACTGCTGCTTGCATAGGTTGGTGCAGTGCAGTTCGATTTGTTTATTCAGTTCTGCTATTTTCTTCCTTAGTTTACGATTCAGTCGTTGAGTCCGCCATTTTTTAGTAATGGCCCGCTTTGCTTCTATTAAGTGGGCTAGTTTAGAATCCATGGCCTCGACGTTAGCGTCAGTGAGAAGCCTTCTGGAGGCCGATTTGATATCATTCCTGATGGATTCGCACCACTCTTTGAGGCTTGGTTTGGTAGCATTTGGTTCGCTTTGCGTTCTCATTCTGCGAAAGACATCCTAATCAACGACATCGAATTCTCGAGTGCGGCCTTTCTCAACCTCCAGCGTAACCTCGAGAACATAGTGATCACTGCCGAAGTTATGACCGGTATTTTTCCATATGGGATGCTCTATGTTTTTGACAAAGGTTATGTCGGGTGTGGTGTCTCTACAGACAGAATTGCCGATTCTTGTGGGATACCCTTTATCCGTAATCAATATCAGGTCTTGTTTGTCAGCATGATGCCATAGATTCCTGCCTTTGGGGTTTGTCGCAGTATATCCCCAGAGTTCATGAGCAGCGTTGAAGTCCCCTAATATGATTAGAGGCCTATCTTCTGCGAGTTTCGTAGCTTTCTCGACAATTATCTTGAACTGTTGTTTGTAGTGCTTCGGGTTACTGTAAATGTTGAGTACAAATAAGCTGTTGCATCTTTGATTTTTGTATGAAACCGGCACTAATACCTCCACCATGAGATACTCTAAGTTCTTGTCCCGAATGCCTAGATCGTGAGAGATGTGTGTCAGCTGCCTATTTGCAAACACATATAAGCCTCTACTATAGTTTTCGCACTTCATAGCTCTATACCCCGTGAGCGTGACGTATCCGTACCCAGTTTCTTGGAGTGCTATTATATCCGGCTTAGATTGTAGTGATCTGAGATATTGCTGGAGTGTGGCACGTTTGTTGTTGTACTCCCCGCAATTCCATTGCCACACTCGAAATTCTCTTTTATTGTGGGCCATATTGGATATTCGTATCCCCTGCCTGGGGAATAATGGGGGCTGTGAGGAACGATGGTCCACGCTGCGCTCTGTCGTTGCCAGACATACTCATCATTTCAAGAGTTTTCACTCTTTCGCTAAATGCCTTAAGCCTTTCCCTAGGATCATTTAATGTACTCTGCATTGGTCCCACACTCATCGTCAACTGTGAGACGCTGTCCATGATCATTTTCATTTTTATCTGCAAATGAGGCTAGTGTTTGTTTCATTTCCTCAATGTGCGTTTCAGTATTCTTGAGCTTACTTTCGACGGCTCTGCGCTTAGCCGACATGGCCCCATCACCCACAAGCGCGGGAACTGGCATTTCCTTTGGCGTGTTTTTGTTCTCGGCCTGCTTGGTTTCACTTAAAAGTTTTTTAATTGCTGCTAATTCTGTAAGCATATTTTTGTTCATTTTCCTTAGTTCTTCATTTTCTTTCTTAAGCCTCTCTATTTCCCTACTTTGCTCTGGGGGTGGGTCGCAAAGCATGACACTTACCGGTTCGGTTCGCACACCATCGGCCCAGGCAAGTCGTCTGTTGTTGGAAGATTGTCCTTTGGTAGTTGGCGTCTTGTCCGTCCTTGCCAATCCCTTGACTTTGCCGGCCCACGTGGAACCATGCCTCCTTCGGATTCTGGGTTGATCAATGGAGTCCGATTCCCAGACCTCACCACGGATTTGGACCTGGATGCACTCCTTCTTCTCGATCTAGATACACTCCTTCCTCTGGATCGGGAGTGATTTCGAGACCTGGACCTGCCGCGAGATGCTGCTGTTGGCTTCGAGTCGTCCATTGGAGCTGATGCCGTGGAGTGCAGCTCGGATGAGTGCAGGTTCAACGGATTGTCGACTTGTTCCTTTTCAGCGTTGGCTGCCATTGCTCTTTCACTTCTTCTTCTTCTGACAACGTATGGAATTGTGTAACGCTGTCTACACATCTTGTCCGCCGTGGGGTGTGGACCACCGCAAAGTTCACATCTGGATTGGCACTTGTGTTCCTTAATCACGTTTATTTCGCCACATCCTCTACACAGGGTCTCTTCCGGGGTGGGGCACACGTCAGCTCTGTGACCGAGCCGGCCACAAGCATAACATATATCGATCTTTTTTTTTTTTGTAAAGTGAACACTTCACCAGAATTGGACCATACCTGACGAAATTCGGAACCTTGTAACCGTCGAAGGCGATGATCACCGTGCCGGTATTCTTAATTCTTTTAGCCGTGAGCGCCAAGGGGTTTCTTGGGTTGACAATATTTCTCGCAAGCTCCGCCGGCCCGTCGGCGATGTCGATGTTTCTTATCACTCCTTTGCACGTATCATCTGGTGCAGCCTCATAGGCGTTGATCTCATAATTGCAACCGCCCAGGTCTATTGATCTTATTCTCACGTACCTCTCAGCATTTTCCCGCTCCGGTGTACTCGCCACCATTATTTTCTGGCTGATGTTGGGGCAGATGATGTCTGACGCCGTCTGATCCGAGCCCAACCCTGCAGCTTCTATGATGGCTTTGTCTACCTTGGTAGAACCCATCTTGCTAATATTGATGCCGCCACGTGGTCGTAAGATAATCTTGAAGTGATCCTTAGGCATGTAGGGCATGCGGGACGCCCTTGTGACTCTGTTCTTGACCTGATTGCCTTTCTCAAATGTTCTAGACGCCGCGTCCGTGTTAGGCCCAGCTCCGGCTGAGTCCCCGCCAACAGCGGATTTGGTCGACATCCGCTTGGAAACTGCTGCTTGCCACCCGTACTCTTCGGTACACTCATCGGAAGATATGCTCTCCCCGTCCATCATTACTTGCATGTCGAACGCACGGCCACTCGCTTCCAATGAACGCCACTTGGCGCGCGTCCGTGTGGCGTTGACCCGGCTCGGCGTAGGCCTACCTCAAGAACGGCTTCGTCGGCACAAAAAGTCTCGTAAAATGACGAAAAGTTCACCCACCGCAGAAAATTGATGTAGCCTTGTTCTCTTCGATGTTAATGCGTCGATCGATGTAATCCATTCAATGACACACATTGATTAACTGGCGGAAACAGATACTGAGAGCGGGAGCCGATATTTTCCTTCCTCACTGTTCGGCGCCTGCGGCGTCTCTCCAGTGCTCACTATCTAGAAGAACTATAGGATGGGGTGGATCACATTCGGTAAGCATTCTCAAATCATGAATGGTAATCTGCCACTAACCCTCAAAAGGAAGGAATATAACAGCTGCATGTAGTCGGTGCTCACTTACGGAGTAGAAACCTGGAAGCTTACAAGGAGGGTCTAGCTTAAAGGCCAAACACCATAAACGCGAAAATGCACGCGACAGCGACGAGCGATGCTATGAGCGACGAAACAGGGCGTTCGCGCGACATATCGCGTGGTTAGCTTTCGCGCGATCGCTGGGTTTTCCAGATTTGGAAACCGTCGCCCATCGCCCGGAAGGGTTGTGCTCAAAGCACCGAAACAGGATGTGCATGACTGACGTAGTGCCAGTTCTCTTCATGTGCCGCGAAATAGCCACCTCCTCTCACTTACCTCTCTGCCCGAGTCACGCGTGCACAACGAAGAAATAATGTAATGTTTATTCACGTGCACATGAAAAAAAAGTGCTGCAAGGCAATAATAAACACTTTCTGTTCCATTGCACAACAACAGATGTTATTTTTAAATTGCATACCGCTCACAACGCCGTTTTCTTGGTACGAATAGACGGCCTCACACAAGCAACGGTGGAGTTCGCTCGCGGAAGCCGTCGAGTGAATGAGGTTTGCCTGCGCTAGCGACTGTTCGCGGGAAGGCGATCTACGTCGCGCCGCTCGTCGCTGTCGCGATCAATTTCTGCGGTTATGGGGTTTGGCCTTAAATTAAGGACGAAGCAGGGAGCGATCGAAAAAAAAAAAAGAAAGGTGTAACTACAAGAGACAAGAAAAGAGCAGAGTGGGCCAGGGAACAAACCGGGGTTAAGGATATTATATAGTTCAAGTGAAAAAGAAGAAATGGACATGGGCCGGGTACCGTAGCACGTAGGCAGGATAACCGCTGGACAATAAGGGTAACTGACTGGATTCCCAGAGAAGGCAAGCTGGTTAGAAGGAGACAGAAAGTTAGGTGGGTAAATGAGATTGGGAAGTTTGCGGGTATAAATTGGCAGCAGCAAGTACAGGACAGAGTTGACTGGCGGAACATAGGAGAGGCATTTGCTCTGCAGTGGACGTAGTCAGGCTGCTGCTGCTGCTGCTGCTGCTGATAGTTGCATGTATAGCTCCTACTAGCATTTAAGAATAATAATAGTAAATCTAGACTGCGTGATCCGCCCGACTCTTGGCCAATCCCCCCGAGTGGGTACCAATAATCCAAGGAGCATCATCACCATCACAAAATGCAGGTCGCGGGATCGAATCCTGGCCGTGGCTGCCGCATTTTCGATGGAGGCGAGAATGCTTGCGGCCCGAGTGTTTAGGTTTAGGTGCACGTCTAAAAACTTCAAGTGGTTGGATTTCCGGAGCCCTCTACAATATACGGCGTCTTTCAGAATCATGTAGTGGTTTGGGGAAATTAAACCCCCAAAATTATTATGAATCGCCAAATGGCATGCATACTGCTTGGAGTTATGCAATCGTCACACCACTGTCACGGGACACTTTATGATTCTGAAAAGAGGTGGCTGTAGTAATACAACATATCTCAAACACTAGGAAAACACAGAAATGCATTAGCATGACAGATGGAAGGCCACCTGCCTCGCTCTTTCACGAGTGTCCACGAAGCGGAACTGGTTAGCTTTTTGTATTTTTTTGTTTTTTTTTTGCCTTCATCTTTTTTCAGTAAATTATTTCATTTATTACCCCACCGCGGTGGTTTAGTGCACAAGGCATTCGGCTGCTCACTCGCAGGTCGCGGGATCGAATCCCGGCCGCGGCTGCCGCATTTTCGATGGAGGTGAGAACGCTGTAGGCCCGCGTGCTCAGATCCGGAGTCTCTCATAATCATATGGTGGTTTTGGGACGTTAAGCCTCACATATCAATCAATCACATTTCATTTGTTAGCGCTCGTCCTGGGTCCTTCTTTCCCTACGTGCTTCGTTGTTTGTGCGCTGGTTATTTCAAGTACGCATCGATTCCAACTCGCCCGTCAGCGCGGTTTGTTGATTCGGAGCCAGCCATTTGGCTCGCAAACAACATGGTGTGTTCGGGACAGTTACACCAAACCGTGACCACCGCGTCGTTACAGCCCTGCGCGACCAGGACTCTACAAAACAGGCAGTCGTCATTAAAAGTTCAATAACACGCCTGCAGAGGCTCAATGCGTTAACTCATCAGCCCTGCCCATTCTACCTCATGAAGATTGGTTCCCGCCCCCTCTGTTCTTAAAACACTTAGCCGACTTGACTTATATGCCTTCCTTATTTCAGTATTTAATTTGTTTCAGCCAGCAGCCTTCTTATTGTTTGTTTTCTGTGCTACCCATGTGCTGCGTCATTAAATGACGCAAATTGATGACGTAGCCTCTGCGCATGCGCAATGCAGCGTCAATGGGTGTGTGTTTTCCCTGCATGCACCGGAATTCAACTTTCGCAGAATCTGACGCATGCTGCTGCAAATTAGGGTAAATTAACCTGATAAACGCCGCAATCTTGTTTAAATATTCTAGAGATTGACCTTTGCAAAACCGACACCATGATTGTTACTACTGCGGCAGCAGTATAGGGTAGCGCGACACTTCTGCGTCGTGCTTTAACTGTCCGCTTTCTTTTTCTTTTCTTTTCTTTTTTTTTTTTTTGAAGGGAGGAGTGGGGATGTGAGTGAGTGACTGGCGAAAATTTTGGAAGAGGCGGGGCAACTGCCCCTCCACCTCCTGGCGCCGTCGTTGAGCTTTACGTGCTCAAACTGTACGATCACGAGGTATATCTTGTAGGAGGAGTGGATTAGTACTTGGCTACCTTTTAGCATCCACCCACGTCTAAGTATCATTGCTTTCACAGCTGAAACGCGTGAATGATAAGTAATACCCGTACAATCGATTTTCAAACCTCTTCAGTTCACATAGCGTAATTTTGACTCGGGTTATTTACGTCACAGCCAACATTACCTTTGGCGGCCAGACTACAGTATAGAGTGACACGACACGGTTATCTCGAGCAATTGCTAATAGTAGTTTTCATTCCTAATAAAAATTATATGGGTGTTTCAGCTCAAAAGCATCAAGTAATAAAAAAATTAAAAATTAGTGCCACGCGTCTCCAGCTAGTGCAGTATTATTCTTATACTCTATGTAGCACGTCAGAATATATATTCTTATGCGCCAAGCACGGTAATTAGGAAAGACCGCTTTTACGTCGCAGTTTATTGTCTTTGTTTCTTCCTTCCGCCCCCCACCTTTTTTTTTTCTTTAATGGTATCATCCAACCATCGCTTAATGTCCATCGTAGTCACCGATAGCCGGTTCAAGTGATCTCTGTGTGTGAGAAGTCTTCGCTAATTCGTTCAACTTACATTTTAGGGCACTCAATGCGCCGCGGGTTAGGCAGCAGTCACGTGGTATTGAATTTCGCACACTTTAGACCCCGGGAAAAATTAACTAGCGTTGTTATATTACCGTATCTTGAAAATTTTGTTATTTCTGGATAAGAGCTACAAGTCTTGTATTGATTTTCTTTCTAGAGTCAGTATTAAAAGTATTTTTAAGGAAAAAAACAATTACAGTGTTTGCCGGATCAAAAAAAGATATTTTGACGTGCTACATACATCTAAGATTAATACTGCGCTAGCTGGAGACTCGTAGCACTCATTTCAATTTTTTATTGCTTGGTGCTTTTTAGCACTGAAACACACCTACACACACACACACACATATATATATATATATATATATATATATATATATATATATATATATATAATATATATATATATATATATATATATATATATATATATATATATATATATGTGTGTGTGTGTGTGTGTGTGTGTGTGTGTGTGTGTTCTCCGTGTTTCGTCAACCTAAATGCAACCGTTGTGGCCGGGAGTTGAACCCGTGCCCACAGTCAACGCCTCCTATATAGGCATTGCCTCAGCATGTTAAACGCCTTATACCCGCTCAACTGCTAAGGCTATTTCTCTAATAGCGGTGCACAACGCTGGCCAGCCGCCTAATGAATACGAGGTTATCGGAGAAACTGCGCGAATGAGTAATTATAGGCAATCGCCCAGACGGATTGCCGACCGGGCACCAAGCGGTCGTATGCGGAGCCTTTGTTGCATGGCCCAACTTTTAACCGGAGAGTAATTAGTGCATGCACCACGTGCGGATTCTGTACTTTGCCTGAACACACGCTGAATGAGTGTATATGACTTTAATTACGAAGAAGGAACCGGAATTCGTTCGTTCAATGTGGGCCGGAATTGCGTGTGTCACGGAAATCGGTCGAACCCCGCTATGCGCCCTTTGTCCACTGAAAATGAAGGAGGGTCCTCACGGGCTGCGGACAGTAATTAAGATTTTAGGACAGACATGAGAAATTATTGAGGAATGCTGTAATGAACCATTCAACTGAATCCAGCGATAAACACCGGGACCTCATGCTTCACCTTGTGTATACGGAGCTCTTTGATGACGTTTTTTTTTTTTCCTTTTCAGTTTAGGTGACAAGTTCGAAACCCCATGCGCTAATGTTTGCATGCTTCTTATGGTGCCAAAAACGGCCACATGCTATATTAGTCGAAGTATAACGATGGTATACCCCTTTCAACCGTAGTGTTCTGTGGTTCACAACTACCGCAGCGCCTCCCCCTTCTCCCCCCCCCCCTCTCCCTTCATGTCCAGTTGACCAAGTCCGAAAAATGCAGTGGACGCAAACGGCCTGTCATTATTGGTTCAATACAACACGGGTGTAAAATTTGCATGTAAGCAGCTCAACGCAACATCAGGAGTGATTATAGTCGTCAGCATCGTCAAATAGCAGCAATGGTATGGGGTAGAATTGGCGCCCACCTTTTAGGCGATGATAAGCCAACTCCTACTGCACCTCCGTACGCACGTCTATTATATATGGTTACAACACTCTCGGACATGCACCTTGGGGAGCGAAAGGCAGATACAGGCGCGAGCCCCATCTGGCCCCCACTGAGAAAAATTGGAAGGCTCAGCCCCTTCCTT